CTATATATAGTATAAATATATATTTGATAATAATATATAATGTAGAAATATATTTGATAATAATATATAATATAGAAATATATTTGACTATAATATAGTATTATTATATATTTGAGAGTAATATATAATATAGAAATATATTTGATATAATAATATAGAGTATTATCATATATACTTGATAATAATATATAATATAGAAATATATTTGATATAATAATATAGTATTATCATATATTTGATAATAATATAGTATTATTATATATTTGACAGTAATATATAATATAGAAATATATTTGATAATAATATATAATATAGAAATATATTTGATTATAATATAGTATTATTATATATTTGATAATAATATAGTATTATTATTCGATATGTACTTATACATCAGAAGCTTGAAACTAATGTATCTATCAAAATGTCTAAACATTAATCTAACAAACACGGCAGAAAGACGTCTAATTAATTTTCTCAATTTGTCGACAAGATAAGATTGCAAAGAATATTTACAGGATTGCGTCACGTGCCACTGAATACAAAACCGAAACGGAACGAATTGGCGGTAACTTTGGAATGGCCTATGTGCACACACCGTTCGCGCGTTCGATCCGTCGATTTCTCCTAACGGATAAATAATTATTGGCGCATTGAAACGGATAATCAGAAGCGGCCGGGGAACGAGACCAGATAACTCGAGCTGACAACAGGATGGAATGTCGATTTGTCGAAAGGACCTTGCCTGCCCGATAGCGCAACATGCCAGTGTACCTTCGTGATCGATAATCTACAATTTCTGTGCCGGAAACGATCAATAGCGAAAATGAAGAAAAATCACAGAAAAGATTATTAACCCTTTGCACTCGAGCGGTGACTCTGAGGCACCGCTAAAATTTGTTGCATCACGTTTTAAGATAATTTTTATATCGACGAAGTTTAGATTTAAAAAATTGTTAAGAGCGTAATTGTTGCGTGACACCCAAGAGTCATTTTGCCATATAAAATAAAAACGCTACAAGTTAGAAAAACAATTCTATATTTACAGTTGAAACAGCTTCGAGTGCAAAGGGTTAACTTGGCTTCGAGTGCAAAAGGTTGACACACGTCGAGTGTTGAAAATCAACTGCAAACATTCCCAAAAAAATCGAAGCACAATTTCCAAAAGCTAGAGAGTTAAAAATGTTCTTTCGTTGTAATTGTTTCGTGTTCGAAAACATTCTAGGGAAATTCGTTCGAAACACGCTGCGATAAAAAGTGAATGATTCTGAAAACTATAAAAAAGAAGATTAGTGTCACAGCGGAAAAACTATACCGGCGTTCAGTCAGGTATCGGGTATCCTGGTTTATTGTTGCAGTTATAAAAATACAGTAATTGGCAAGGAAGCGATAAAGCATACTTTTAACGACCGTATAAATACGAATCGAAACGAATCCTTAACCATTTAAGGGATTAGGACACGGTTAATAGGCAAATAAATTGTACGATTTTTAAGCATCGTTACTCGGCAAAGTAAACGCCGGGTTAATACACAGAGTTTTATATGTTTGTTTCAGTATATATCGTACGAACTGCACGAAACGCGCTCGGGAACGTTTTCTTTGAACACGTCGATGGAACGATATCAATTAACCCCTTAATGCACAGTTTTTTTGAAGAAGGCCGGCCAAAGAAAATCAATTTTTTTAAATGTAAAAAAACACAATTTAGAACCGTTGTTTTGGCAAGAAAATGACAAAAATACAAAAATAATCAAAATTTTTATTGCAATTTTGGATTTTGATAACATTGCAGAAAATAGTCGAATATTGTAATATTACACGCACGTCGACTTTTTTGTATCTTTCTTTTCGAATTCCCATTTCACAGAATAAACATTATTGTCAGTAAAAATATTTATTTATACTTTTAAAACATAAATAATAACCATACTAGTATTTATAAAATTAATCAAACTTTTCTTTTGTGCGATATATTTCGAAACAAGGTGCAGCACATAGCCCAACATTGCAACTATTACACATGTAACGACTCTCTTTTCTTTTCCTTTGCTATCTCTTTTAGCAGAACACACAGCGCAATATATTGTGGCAATATCTTATAGCAACGCCGCTCGAATTATCTCGAGTGTGCACAGTTCGGCCAGTTTAGCGCGTTCGAGTTAACTCGAGCGTGCACGTTCAGGGGTTAATTGTCACAAACTGTATGGTCGAATCAACAACAACCGTTCGTGCTATAAGATCGTTCGAAAAAGAATCATAGAATTTATTTGCCCGTTAACTGTTGCAAAAACCTATCTCAAGTGCCAGGCAGGTTACCAACAGGCGAGAGAAGATTTATTTGTTCGCCGACGGAACGACGTTTCTCGGTAAAATTCGAGAGCGAAAATCGAATCGACGTTAAACCCGATCGTCTTAGCTAAATCAATTACATCGCCGAATAAAATCTCCTTAACTAACCTATTACGTGCGGTACGCCGAACGAAGCGATTCTCTCATCAAATCTTTCATTTTTCGCACGGTTTTATACGACAGTGTCTCTCGCGGTGTCATCGCGGTGCGCACAATGACTAACAAAACACCTAACCTTAACAACGCGCACGAAAAAAGGAAAAAGAAAAGAAAAATGATCCAGAGAGTATATGGAATGTGAACGAGCATTATTATTAACGGGGATACTCTCTCTTTCCGAAATCTATACGAACAGCGACTACGGACTCCCTCTTCCTTGACAGTAGCAAAATTCGTCTGACATTCGAGCGAAGTCGAGCTTAGACGAGCCGTACCGTCGGTTCAACAATAACGATCTGCACAGAGCGTAGCAATTTCTCGGAGCAATAAACGCGCACTGATTTTCGTCCGTGCGAATCAACAAAAATCAACGTATTTACGCGTATATAGTGTAACGCAGAGAGAGAGAGAGAGAGAGAGAGAGAGAGAGAGAGAGAGAGAGAGAGAAGGAGAGGGAGAGAGAAAAAAAGGTCGTAAACGTCCCGAACGTCGCGCGAGCGTGCGTCGAACAGAAACATTTCACCGCAAGAAACACACTTTAACGCGCGCACATACCGGCCTGGCACCGAAAGAGTTAATTATGACGAAGATGGTATCCCGGTGGGCGAGAGCGGAGTTGTTTACTACCTGTCACTCATCGGCGTATTAAGCCGGCGTCGTGTCGGGCCAACAAACCGACGAAGAAAAGAGAACTCGAAGCTAGAGAAGCGCACCGGATCGTCGGCAGGCGTTAATGCGGGGCCAGAAGCTGTTTTTCTTTCTCCCTTTCATCGCTGTCCCGACACGAGATAGCCGAACTGTCAGTCAAACGTTCGATAACCAATGGTCGACGATCCCTACTACCACACCACGCCGGGGAAGAATCATTTTCATGCGAAGAGGGCGTAGCAAAAACTACAAGAGGCCACCGCTGCCGACGGCGCCGATGCCTCACTGCTGCGCAACGCTCTACCTATAGGGTGCTCGATTAAATTTCTGCGGGAAATTCGAGTTCGCCTCGACACTTCTTTCCGACGGAAAGAAGCGACTCGAAGCTTCGCCTCGTTCCAGCCGACACTTCTAAACCGATCATTAATTTACGGCTGGAAGTGTCGCCGGTCGGGTTGCAAAGGCACGATCCAAAAAACGATCGCTTTTGGCTACAATTTTAACCCTTTGCAGCGTGGGGTGGTCGCTCCGGGGCACCGCTATAAAATTGTCATGATCACTTTTCAAGATAATTTCGATATTATCAAATTTCTTCGTACTTTGGTATCGATTTTTTTGAAATATAAATCTGATTCGTAATGTATTATTTTATATTTTAATATATAATTTTGCGAATCGTTGTTTTATCGTGGAATTGAATTGCAACGTTTATATTTTCAGCGACTACTTCTCTACGAGTAGCACGTAAACCAGGAAACTGTTGGAAACTGCACTTGAGATTTGCAGGTTTTACGATTAAAAATATAACATGTAAACATTCGTTCTCTCGACCGCTGGGCAATGTTAGATTCGACTCGTCCACGTTACAACATAACCTCTAACTTCTTCGTTCGATTCGGTGAACAACGAACGATTGCTTTTTGTTTAGAAAAATATACAGACCTTTCGCATTTAATCCTCGCATACAACGATATACTAATTTCAAGATATCGATGTTGTACGGTGTATCGAACGTGAGAAAGTGATCGCCATTAATTAACAATAATATTATAATCAATTATGTTTAACAAAGTCATGAACTATAGAAACGTCCGATAGAATAAACGCGTGTACGCATAGAACGCGTGCATAGCATAGATACGACGTGTCTGTACATTGTAGAAAAAAATTCTGTTTATATATATTATTATAAAAAAATGGAAACTTTCATCCGCTTACTATTTTTTTGTTTAATAACGATCTCTGTATAAGTCGTCACTGAATTGTACGAAAATGTACATCGTGTGTATATAATTTTCAATTAAATAACATTTCATTGATCTGATAGGGGAAAATGTAGACGAAGAAGTTTGCGAAGCGGCGAGCGAAGTTTACGCATGCGTACCATGAAGCACGAATGACAAAGGTGTAAAAGCCAAACGCGTTACCTGGTTCGTGTGCGCGTAAAAAAATTAATGATATTTCAATTTTGATCTTCTTTTCTCACCGTCGTCTCGGTCTAAATTTATGGATAAATCCGCAAAGAATATTGTTGTTCCGGCGCTTATGAATTGCATAGCGTCTAAATAGTATTTTCTATATATTAATTCGATACACTTTTCACGGCCGGTACAGAAAGAATAATACTAATCAAATTCTTAAGAACACGCGTCGCGCGTTACGGGGCGCAATGGTGGCCCCGCTTTATTACAGCATGCGTCTTTGTCACTCTCTTTTTTTCCGCTACAAATTCTTTGAACGATTTCAACCGGTTCTCCCGACATGATGTAAACATCGATTCGCTCGCAGCACGGTAGACATGCCTTGTATCGCGAAGTTTTCCGTTTACCATTTGACGTAATTTGCTTACCACGCACTATTACGTCTTAGATCGAAATCCAAACAGCACGTTCGAGCGGCCAATTGTGATTACCGATACAGTGTTAACCGGACTGTGTTACCGAAGCGTCGGCAAAATTGTACGTAGGAACCTTTTTAAGCCTCGATGTTCGGGAAATTTGATTGAACATGTATGTAACGCAAGTAATTATTTTAACAAACTCTACTGCGCCAATCACTAATTCAAATACATGTTTTTTTTAATATTTTCACCGTATCCCCGAGGCAACGTATCGATCGAGATTTCGGTAATTCCATGTTCCCGCCCGATTTCAAGCAATTAAACATATAACAAAATATACGAATGAAATAATACGCGGAATATTCGTTATGATAATACGATCATTAAAGCGTACGTTCATTAAGTGGGTTAAGAGATAGGTAAAAGAAAAATGAAGGTAATGAAGCATTAACGAGTAGACATCCGAGACTGGGTACAATGCGTTAATTAGATCACATTTAACACTGCCTATAACGTTACACCCTTCATTATCTACGTACGAGGCAGCGAAGCATTGTATGTAATATGTTATTTTCCTTGCGTACGATCTAAATTGAGCCGAGGAATACTTTATTCGAAACGAAATATTGGATGTGGATTATAATCGGCGGTGCTGCGTGTTTATATTTTATATTCCATTCTACGACTGTTATTGCTATCCTTGTACTTCTCATTTTCATAAATGAACAATATATATATATTTATTGAATTCCTTGGATTCTCGCGATATCCACACGTCGGAGTAATTCAATTAAATTTTTACATCGACCGAAAGCGGCGCACAATTATGTATATTTATACAAAAGAGGAGAAAATATGCGGTCGATACACGTTAGACGTTCGAGAATGCATCGAAAAAGATGCGATAAAATACTTTGAAAATAAATCGCGCTTCTGCTATCGATCGAACCACCGATTTCCACGATTAATTAAGACGCGAATTTCTTTGCTTCCGACACAATTCGTCGAATGTAAATGTTGCTAATAACGTCATCTACATGACGATACATTGAACCGTTACGTACAGTGCTCGTATTTAAGAGGTTTCATGGTTCGGTACAAAATTAATCAATCGCGAGCGTGCGTTAAGGGTTACGTTCACCCTTGCGGTAACATTTTTTCTCTCGGCTCGACGACGTGTATCGATAACCCGACAAAATTCCTGTCGATTATGCAACGTGATCGCTTTGCAAACAATAGGGACCGCAGTACGCGCGAACGACGTTACAAAAAAGAAAAAAAACAAGCGACGAATCCGACCGAAAAGCGAGCGGAAAAATTGTCCGAAAAAACACGCTCTTCCGGATGTCCGATTGCACGGACGAAGTGGCACGGAGAATGGAGATTCGGAAGGGATCGCGTGGTGTGCATGATGTCATCTAAAAATGTTGCTCCACGGAAGACCCTTGACAATATCGATCGTATCAATCCGCAATTCTGTCAAGGCAGACCGCGAGAAATGGGCGTTCACGGGGGGGCATTGCGCACAAAACAAGTTTTTCGCGTGTATCGGCGCACCGAACGGGACGAACGAACAAACGGACCTAACCTCACTAATGTCGCAGGTGCGCTGTCCAACGGGCTATTAAGCCGATGAGAATACGATGCACGACAACAGCTGTCCCGGCGACACTGTTCGACGACCGATCTCCGTTCTACGTCGACTTACCGTGTCGCGGGGCCGGCTCGGACGTTTCCCCACAGGAACAAAACAACACCGACAACTGGTCTGAACGTTTCGAAAATTATTTCGGGTTCGGCGTGTGTCTGGCTCGCTCGCTCTCTCTCTCGTTTCAAACCGATCGGCCCATTTCTCGTCCACGTGATACGCCGCGGTAGCCGACTGTACTCATGTATCGACACTGGTACTATACAGTTCACTGTTCCCCGTTCAACACAAACGCGACTGTTTACCACTGTTCACGTCCCACGATAAATTCAAGTAATCGGACATTTTTCAACATGCTTCTCCACAATCCCCCGTCTACTCCTTCCACTGACACGTCTTTTGTGACGTCATCGATTCAATACTTTTCGGTGAAGGTTTTGCCGCGGACGGTTCCGCGGATCGCCGCTAGGTGGCGGCACGCGCGCGATCGCTCGTCTATTCGGACATGTTTTCGACAGGTGCCGCGACATTTGAAATGGAAACTTGCGGAATAGAAAAATTACTAGATACTTTCGAGGATTATTTGTTACACCGCGTTAGATATTTTTATACAATTATAGATTTGCGTCGATCGGAGTACAGTCTAAAATATTCTATATTTTATATATATTTATATTTTTATGTTATTATTTTATATTATATTTATATTTATATTTTTTCTCTATATTTATTCTATATTATATATATTGATTCGCTTTCGTGCAGCGGGAAATACTTCGAAACATTTAGTTGATTTTATTACTATTATCTGAAATACCATTTACACAATGTTTACTCGATTTTATAACTATTATTGAGAAAAATGCTCGATTACGTTTAACCTATCCTACACGTAATTCTAAGTATACGTATAAACAAAATGATAGCTGCAACGATTTTGTTCACGAGCAATATTACGTCGGAGGAGAACTTATCTGATACGTTGCTATCGTTAAAAACTGTCGTAGATCTATTAAAAAATAATATTGCAGAGCGCCTCGAACACTTGATATCGAAATGTTCTAGTTATTTGCCAAGGGAATTCCATGTAAGAAAATCTGAAGAGAAATTTATAGGAGATATCCGAGCGGAAACGTTTAGGCGGAACAACCACCCTGTATATCGTACGCGTTGATTTTGCGAGACACGTGGTCGCTGGTGACTCTATAGTTAAAATGCGACCACGTCGAAATGAAACGGACCAAAATCCGATAAAAATGATCGAATCGAAGGGAATCGGGAACAACGTGATTTCGGGAAACGTTGTCATAGAGAAAATCGAGCCGACTGCCGAAGGATAACATATTTGCTTGATTAGAACGATGAATAACGTCGACCAGTGGTTATCTTATCACCGGGCCGTTATCAGGGATAGTCGGCTTGATACAAGAAAACCATTTCCAGTCGTTCGGCGTCAAGTTCCACGCTCGTTGATCATACCGTTGAACCACCATGGATCGACGATGGTTGTTCGCGTTTCTCATCGTTTTCACAACGGTGAATTGCCAGGAGCAGACGGAAAAATCTACGAATCCTGTCACGGAGGACACCGATGTCACCGAGACGGCGACATCCGAGACTGTTCTTCCGGTCGCAACAACCAAACTGCCTAGTTTCTGCACTGTTTGCAGTTGCACAGGTATTGTGACCAGGTTTTCGCAGGATTACGAAACCACGACGACCGCGTTAAAAAATCGGCTGCGTCCGTAAAGAGCGATTCTTCGATCTCTCGGTTCATACTCGAATTTACGAAGAATGATCTACGATCTTCCGGCGCGGTTTTTCATTCCCATTTCTAGTTAATTGAACAAATTATATAATTATTATTATATAATTTATTAAATATTATTATATATATATATATAATATATTAATTTATTATATATTATTATATATATAATATATTAATATAATAATAATATTATTATATGCAGCTTGCAATTAATGCAGGCAGTTTTTATTTTGCGTGAAAATGATATATAATTAGTATGACACAATATTAGGTAATAAGTATATAATAATATAATAATAATATTATATTAATATATTAATATAATAGTAATATTATTATATTATTATATAATTATTACCTAATATTGTGTCATACAAATTATATGACATCATTTTCACACAAAATAAAAACTGCCCGCATTAATTGCAAGCTGCAGAAATCGCGTGGATGCGATTTGCGACAATGGTGCAATAATATTTTCAAACTGTTCAAATGTCTTTGCCTGTTCGAACTACGCTCTTTCCATTGCCATAAATGCATAAAATCGTCGACAGTCCAACGATTCTCTCTGGAACGGTTCAACACGTTCCAGTTCGGCGCGAAGAATAATTTCGTCTAATTTCGCTACTGTTTCGACGACAGGCGACGACGTTACTTGCGACGGAAGGAACCTGACCGGCCATTTCAACGATTCCCAATGGACGATCAAAGCTGTGAACGTGATGTCATTCACGGGGAACTCGTTGGTGCACGTGAAACCGTTCCCGGAAGTTGCGATCGCGCGGCTGGTTCTACAAGCGAATCAGATCACGAAAATCGACGACGGGGCGTTCATGAAGCTAATCAACCTCACCGAACTTGATTTGAGCCGTAACAATCTTACCGCGGACAATTTGCAACCCGACGCCTTTCAGGTAACTTCGAAATCGAACGTCTCTCGGCGGCGCATCCTGCGCGTTTTCATGCTTTCGTCGCGTTTAAGTCGTTAGGTCACGGTCAATAGGATCTTTTTTTATCATTCAGTTGAATGGATTATACCGCGCCGCACGGTATTATTTGATCATTTCCTAATCCGTTCGATCGAACGTTCATTGTTGTCCTACCGCTTAATCTTCTATTAGTCACACAGTCGTTATCGCGCAAAAGTTTCTCTCGCGCGATGTGTACTACACGCCTAGCAAAGATAATGAATTTCCTTGAAGGAAGTAACTCGTAGTATTCCCTTTTAATTATCGAGGCGTTCGATTGTTCGTTCGCACCCTGAACCGCGACGATGAAAAATCATTCGCGAAACAATAGCGGAATAGGTTGGACGCAAATTGTTTTTTTTACTCGTCATATTGTTTGTTACATTGTTAGCAAAGATAATGAATTTTCTTGAAGGAAATAACACGTAGTATCCCCTTTTAATTATCGAGGCGTTCGATTGTTCGTTCGCACCCTGAACCGCGACGATGAAAAATCATTCGCGAAACAATGGCGGAATAGGTTGGACGCAAATCGTTTTTTTACTCGTCATATTGTTTGTTGTATTGTTATCAACGCATTGTTGATAAATATTGTTCCTTTCATGCGACACACTTCAAGATTTAATTAAAGTACGCTGTACTTCATTGTAATTCGAGAAATGCTTGAGAAAGCGCAAAGAAATATTCGAAAAAAGTATTGTACAACGGAGAGCTTTTTGTCGACGCTAATCTTTAATTATTGTTTCGTTCGAATTAATGTATACGTGTTTACGTTAAATCGGCGATTCTGAACGATTTTAGGGCAGATTTTCGACAAGGAATTACGAACCGCTGGCAAAGTTGACGAGGCTGAGCCTGGCCTACAATCAGCTCCATTCTCTGCATCAGGATCTTTTCGAGCATGTGCCGAACTTGAAAGTACTCGATCTGTCCCACAACTTGTTCACGCGGATCGATCAGCGCACTTTGTTTGCGATCACCTCTTTAGCGAAATTGGAAGAATTGAATTTGAGTTACTGCGGCTTGAAGGATATTCCAACCACGTTTCTTTACAGCTTAAGGTAACGTTCGTTTCGTTGTACACCGAACAACACGCTTTCAGTACAATACACAGGGTATTCCATAATTATGTTAATACTTGGAAAGGGTTGGTTCCTGAGATCGTTCGAAGTAACTTTTTCCTTTACAACAATTTTCTCCGAGGCGTCGTTAACGAGTTATTAACGAAAAACACTGACCAATGAGGGGCGAGCTCGCCAAGGCGCTGGGCGGACGAGCCAATCAGTGGAACTGGGCTTCGTTGGCTCGGCCGCCTTGCGCCGGATGAGCTCGCCTCCCATTGGCCAGTGTTTTTCGTCAATAACTCGTTAACGAAGCCGCGGATTGTATTTTCGCTGAGGAAAAAGTTGTTCCAAATCACCTTAGGAATCACCTCTTTCCGGATGTTAACGTAATTATGGAACATCGTGTATACCTAATTATTGTAATAATATTATTATACATATATTTTTCATTTATATATATCGCAAAGCAACAAGCTTCTTGCTTGTATCCGCTTGTCAATATCCTGTCTGCTCGGCGATTTAGTTCTGATATCGAAGCGCGAAGCGACGGCTCGCTTAAACGTAAATGTTGTAACACGGTCGATCCGATAGATCGAGGCGCGCCGATAAGAAAGACAGATATCGCCGCGAGAGTAGAATGATTGTTCTCTTGGGAGACGCGAGCGGGGCGACCAAGCGCGGAATCCACACATATTTGCCAATCACGACGATAAATTCGTGTGGCAGCGGCTGTGCGTAATCCGCGGCTTTTCGACGATATTAACTAATAATAACGTTTCTCTAGGAAACTGACGAAACTGGACTTAAGCGGCAATCAGATAAACGCGCCACCGGCCGACCTCGGCGAGGCAATGTCTCTGGAGTATCTCTATCTGGACGAGAACCCGATCCAAATAATAAACGAGAGCAGCTCGTTCCCGGCCATGCCCAAGCTGAAGCAGCTGAGCCTGTGCTGCATGCCGCATTTAACGGTGATCGGGAAAGGTGCTTTCGGGGGCTTGCAGTCGCTGGAACACGTGCGGATACAAAATTGCCCGAAATTGGAAACGATCGACGAGTACGCGTTCGCGAACGAGGTACGCGACGACGATTTTCTCCGTCGACTTTAATGCAGGGACGGTTAAAGCGACGAAAGCAGGAAATGAGAGGTTCCTTAGGTCAATTGAAGTAACTTTTTCCTTTGCGAAAATGCGATCCGCGGCTTCGTTTACGAGTTATCAACGAAAAACACTGACCAATCAGAGGCGAGGTTGAGCAGGCGCGAGGCGGCCGAGCCAACGAGCGTGCGACGCCCAGTTCCGCTGATTGGCTCGGCGCCAGGCGAGCTCGCACACTCATTGGTTACTGTTTTAATGTGAATAACTCGCAAACGAAGCCGCGGATTACAATTTCGCTAAGGAAAAAGTTGCTTGAATTGACCTCGGGAACCCCTTCGAACAAGGTGTTCGATTTTAAAGGCTGTTCTATTCGAAATGATCGCAGACGAAGGGGTCCGAGGAACCTGAATGGCCGCCGCTGAAGAAACTCGATTTGTCAGATAACGCGCTCCGATATTTGCCCGTGCATCTCGTGGGCGCCGATTGGGACACGCTCGAAGAATTGGATCTGATGAACAACAAGTGGAGCTGCGATTGCCATAATCAATATCTGGTAAGTTCGGGCGATCGCGGGAATATACCCGGTGTCTCTCGTGGCACTTTTGACTGATTTTCGTTGATTGTTAGCTCTATTTTTAATATCAATTAGAGGAAATTTCTGTTCAGAATAAATACAAACGAGATTGCGCTCGGCTCCTAAGTCTTGCGATTGTTGCAGATCATTTTAATTTCGCATAAAGATCCGCAGTCCGTCTATTATAAAGAATATTCCGTTGTTCGTAGATTGGAGTATTGCTGCCGAAGCATGGGAAGAGACTAATGGCGGAGGACGTGAACAAGCTGAAGTGTTCGGCGCCACCGGAACACCTGGGCAAGAGTCTGTTATCGTTGACCCAGAAGAAGCTCCGTTGCTTGGACTTCTATGGTGCGAGGCCCGAGAGGGACGCGACGATTCTCGTCGGGGTGCTGATCGGTATCCTGATCGCCATACCGATTTGTCTGACTCTCTTCGTCCTCTGGCGCCGCGGATTCTTCTTCTGCGGCTCGAACAACCCGGCCAGTTTCTCGCGCGCCTTCTACAAACGTGCCACCAGCGACGACGACATCTGACAAGATCGTTCTTCTCGATCGGATCTAGTCGGGAAACTGAAACGCGAAAGGTTCGGCGAGATCGGCCGAGATCCGGGGAGCCGCCCTTAAATACTAAATTATTCGAATAAAGAGTCTTTCGAATTATTCGAATGAAAAGTTATTCGGACAAAGAGCCTTTCGAATTCGAAATCACTTTTCGAATAATTCGACAAGCTTTTTATTCGACTGATTCGAAAGATTCTTTCTCGAATAATTTTTCATTCGAAAAATTCGAAAGACTCTTTGTTCGAATACAAAATTATTGGGATAAAGTATCCTTCGAATTATTCGAGTAAAAAATCATTCGAACGAAGAATCTTTCGAATCGTTCGAATAAATAATTATTCGATTAAAGAGTCTTTCGATTCATTCGAATGAAATATTATTCGATTGGTCTTTCGAACTGTTCGAATAAAAAAGTTATTCGAACAAAGAGTCTTTCGAATTTTTCGAAATGAAAAATTATTCGAAGAAGAATCTTTCGAATCGGTCGAATAGAAAGCTTGTCGAATTATTCGAAAAGTGTTTAGGAGATACTGTATTAATTTCGCGAAAACCTGCACATTTATCGGCAGCAACATTGTTTCTCGGATGGTTAAATTCGCGATTTCACTGTGTCGCGTCTACGTAAAAATAAGATGTACACGTGGTAGAATATAGAGAGTACTTTTTAAACATAAATTGACTACGTTACTGATCTCTGGAAAACTGGCGAACGTTGTTGGCAACGTGGGACAAGTCAACAGCAACAGCATTATCTTTTATTCGAGATTAGTAGTTACGCTCCAGCGACTATTTATTCCGTGTTAATGTTTTTTCGAATGTTTCGCAGTGATTTTCTGAAATTTGCAGTGCCTTTCGTAAACAGAACGTTCGTAATTTTCTAGTCTGTCGCGTTGATAAGACTACGTAATAATTCGACCGCGGATCTTCGTTCGTTATTGTAAACGTGCATATTAATCGAAATTAATTGTGTTATTATTATTATTATTATTATTATTATTATTATTGTATTAAAATTAATTGTATCATTGTTAAAATCTGTTTCTTTTTCAGAGTTTCATGAAGGAATTCAGGAAAACGAGAATTTCCATAGAGGTCCGCGGTTCAATTATCGCTATCAATTCTTCATAATTTATTTAAATGTAATTACATCGGTAACGTGCAGTGCTTACCTATAATATAAACTGTTTATATATATATTAAGGTATACATCTTCGATGGCCGCGAAATACATTCTTCTAAAAACAGATCAGTGCTTCGTTCGTTCGAGATGTCTGCAAGATAATTTTCACTGCATTTTTCATACTGACTAAATGCAAACGACTTTGCGCAACGAGATGCTATGTCGCATAAATTACTGTACAACAGATCGCATATAATAAATTTATATACCTAAATTTCAACGTGGTCAATTAATATACGAGAACATTTGTATATTAATTAATATAAAAATTTAAATTCCTACAAACGACGACGATTATTTAAAAAAATAATCTATCGTTTTAATAACGTCTCCTTAAAAAGCATGAAGCAAGATCGATGGTAGTTTGAAAAATAATCTATTAACAAAGGATCCCGGGAGGGTGGCAATTAGGGGATGCAGACGAAGCGTGTCTATTCGCTGTCGATTATCATCCGGCTGGATCTCTCTCTCTCTCTCTCGCGACGAATGAAAAACGAAAAGAAAGAAAAAAAAACGAGAGAAACAAATATCTTGCTGATTTTCGGTCTAACAAGTCCCTGGTGGGTTTATTTAGCCACCGCCTGTCGTCGGGAAGCGGTTCTCTGGAACACCATGGGGATAGTTTCGGCAACGTTAAGCTTGCGGACGGGTTTTCGGCTTTGGCATCGACATCGGGGTCCGCTCGTGGATTCTAGACCACCGTCGAGGGAACGACGGGACGGATGAATGGACACGCGTCGGTAACACAATTACCGGGACGTTAATTTACTCAATAATCGCGGAAGCAACCCCGTCTAAATGCCGGCACGCGCCTCCTCGCCCCTTTCGGCCGTCGCCGTGCCAGAAGAGGCCCTCTAATACGACCGATGAATACGGGTCCAGCTTTACGGATGATTGCGTCATTATACGTGCGTTTTACTAAACAGGTTACGACGTGGCCCTCGCGAATGTTTGCCGACTTCGCTCTCGTTTCAATCGGATACAATTACGCGATCGCGACAGCCTATTATTTCAACAATAAACTGAATATTATCAATTTCGACGCCGTCACGCCGCTGTCACACCGACGGCTCTCTCTCTCTCTCTCTCTCTCTCTCTCTCTGGTTCCTCGCAAATATTATTTTATCCTCGGACGAACGCGACGAATTTTAATCGGTGGGGCGAATCTACGACGGCCGCCCTGATGTTTAACCCGTTGCCCGGCGTTCGGATAACCTGTGCTGGGCGAGTCGCGTAATTCCCGAGGAAAAGGGGAGACATTTGTTCGAAATTGTAGACGAAGAATCTATTCGAGGTGTTACTCGAACGAAATTTTATCCGAAAAATTTGCTCAAAGTTAAACGCTGCGAATAAAATGCTGCTCGAAGAATTTATTCGCGACGTTATTCGGATAAAATTTTATTCGTATAATTTTATCCGAATAACATTGCGAATAAATTCTTTTTAGAGAGAGAGAGAGAGAGAGAGGGAGAGAGAGAGAGAGAGAGGGAGAGAGAGAGAGAGGGAGAGAGAGAGAGAGAGAGAGGGGGAGAGAGAGAGAGAGAGAGAGAGAGAGAATTTACTCGAAATATTCTACGAAGGAAATTCTACTCTCGAAGAATTTATTATATATATTATTATATTCGCGAATGCACATCGATAAATCATCCACGAGATCCCTCGACGATCGAATAAAAAAGGAGAGCCGTTTGCGTTTCTAAAATGTACAACGTATTTCGGCGGAACACGCCGGGAAGTTCGGCGTGCACCTGATATTATTATTATTGTAAATTCGGTACCGGGGAGGGTAGTTTCGTGATACCATAATAACTTTGTCGATCGGATGGTTCGGCCGGAGCGGGGTCGGCGCGCGGGGGTTGCTCGAAGGTACATCGACGTTATATACACCGATACATCCATTTTGAGCGTGCTGTATACATCGTCCAATAAGTAATCTAATCCGGTGCTCCTGCTCCTCCTGATCCGCATTCTCTACCCCCTTCAAGATTCGATACAGATGTATTGACTCGCGGAAAGCTTCCCTACACTTTGATGCCGGAACGGTGGGATCAATACGGGCCGGGGTGAAAAAAATTTGTCGCACACTCCTGACGAAAAATTCCCCGGATACGTACGCATACGAATATGACGTTCACCGGTGTTGTCCGAGCGAGTCGATCTTGCTCTTCGCGAAAGCAGCCGGAAAGAACGTTGAAGGGTGCCCACCCCGAATAATTGAATCGTCGTAAGCAGGGCTGGGTGATTTTTAACAGAGAAAATATTTAAGACGGCATTTTTACGCTATTTCGGTCGGAGACGTCAGACAATATATTTCTATTCGATGCTATTTTTAGCAAAGGGGTGAAGGGACAGCTATTAATTATTATAATAGGAGAGCTATTAATAATTATAACAGGAGAGCTATTAATAATTATAATAGGACAACTATTTAATAATTATAAAAGGAGAGCTATTTAATAATTAAAATAGGAGAGCTATTAATAATTATAATAGGACAACTATTTAATAATTATAAAAGGAGAGCTATTTAATAATTAAAATAGGAGAGCTATTAATAATTATAATAGGACAACTATTTAATAATTATAAAAGGAGAGCTATTTAATAATTAAAATAGGAGAGCTATTAATAATTATAATAGGACAACTATTTAATAATTATAAAAGGAGAGCTATTTAATAATTAAAATAGGAGAGCTATTAATAATTATAATAGGACAACTATTTAATAATTATAAAAGGAGAGCTATTTAATAATTAAAATAGGAGAGCTATTAATAATTATAATAGGACAACTATTTAATAATTATAATAGGACAGCTATTACGAAACGCTGTCTTATGTTCAATTAGATCACTGGACGGACCACAGAAATATCTAATTTCATTCTTATACAATAATTCATCATAATTCTTACTCTAAATATCTATTACTAAAATATCTATTTCGATAAATATTACAATAGCACTCGTTCAAAATCCGAACAAACATCTTATCGTTATCTTAACAATACAAAACAGCTGTTTCCGATGCTCCATAAATCTAGCGCTAGCTCCAAATCGTCTCGAGAAAATCAATTCGATCACTAAACAGTACCCACCGATTGTTAACAAACAATGCGCACTATTATTGATAAACTATTATTATTAGCAAACAACAGACACTCGACGTTCCTCACAACAAGAAAAATCGTGGCCACTGCGATACGAACCCTCTCGCATCATCTACCCCCTTTTACATCGTCCAGCCGTTCTCGACGAGAAACGATCGCAGCCCGGTACGTTTGAATTTACAAGCTCGCCCAAGGCCCATGAAAATTAATCCGTGCGCCGCTGGTGTCGCTGTAAAAGTCGACCGCGAACTGGCGTGGACCGTGTCGGCCGCGAATCAGAGTTTCCGGAGGGGTCAAGCAGGGGGTAGAGGTCCGAGAAACGAAAGGGAAGCAAAAGAGACGACGAAGAAAAGGACGAAGAGAAAGGAATACCTGGAAATCGTTAGACGGGGGTCGGCCGGCCTGCCGGAGGTGGTAAAAACGAAATACAATTTAAGCGGTAGGAAAAGCCACCTCAGAAGTGCACACGTGAACGCCGTAATCGTGCACTAGTCAATGTGAATGCGCAATAACACGGGGCCGGCCGCGGCGGATATAGAAGCGACTTCTCTCTCTCCCTCGGATCTCCTCCGGTCTCTCCCTCTCTCTCTCTCTCTCTCGGCCGCTCTCCCGGTCTCTCTCTCTCGCGGCGCTCGGTCTCTCCGGCGGCTCTCCTACTCTCCGTGATCTCTTTGCCGTCGATTCGGAGGGGTGCCAGGGTGAGGATTCGCTTACCCCCGGCCCGGTGGCCATGGAAACGCGGCGTTCGGCGCCGCCCCGGCGGATCCGCGGGGCCAACCGTTGCGACGCCGAGCGTCGCGACGCCGACCAATGCCGGCGGGTGTCGAGGCTCGTATATCCGGACCGAGGTTTACTCTCTTCTTGGCCAGTTAGAGCGGGTTGAGGGTGGAGATGATCGCGGAACGGGGGGTTGAATCGCCTTGAATATCGCGCACCGATACTCCCTGAACGTCGCCGAACCGCGCGCGCGGCCCGTGTCACCCTGCCCGGAACACGCTTTTCTTGCCCCGCGGACTTTCTCGATCGGCCAGCGTTTCCGGCCCGGCTCGGCTCGGCTCGGCTCGGCTCTCGATTTAATTAAACCGTTCGCGAGGAAGTCCCCGTTTATACATCCGGAAGAGCAGCCGCTTCTCCGTCACCGCGGACCGACCTCCGGGGTGAACGCGGCCGGAGGGTGCCGACGCGGTGTCCGTTCGCATTCCTCCGTTGGGATCCGTTCCAGCGAAAAGTCCGTTTCTCCTTGGTGCGTCCGGTCCCGGTCGGGTACCGCGCGCGCTTCGACGGGCCCTCTTCTTTGTGCTTGGTGGAATATTGTGCGGGTTGTACGAATGTTCGAGGAGACGGCGCGATGAACGCGCGACTCGTCCGAAGCGACATAGGGTATGTGATTGTTCGGTGTCAATTAATTTAGCTCGCCTCTCGCCGTCGAAGGGCAGACGTCGGACTGTGATCATCAGGATACTCCCGGATCGTTCGACGGTTTGGGTTGGCCAAGTGACAAGTTCGGGGCAGTTTTTGCCCTGCGTCCTTCGCGCGAACGTCCATCGCTTTCGCGAGCTCCGTTGCTCTTGGAAGCTCCGCCGATTTCGCGAACGGAGCTCTTCGGTTCAGCGATTCTCTCGCGGCGTGGCAAAGAGAGAAAGAAAGAGAAAGTGGGAGAGAGAGCAACATGCAGGGCTCGCGTGACGTATCGAGTGACCACCGATCGGGATAATCGAAGAATGTAACGAATATCCCGCACCCGACGGCCATACTGCAACCAGCATCCCGCGAAGATGCAGTCGACCTGCCAGCAACAGCAGGCCCAGCCAGGTCAGAACGGCACCTCCGCGAACAGGACGTCGTTCCTGATCGAGGACATCCTCAGCCGGGGCACCGTGCCGCCCCATTCGCATCATCAGCTTCACCATCAACACCTCTCCTCCGGCCACGGGGTCCAGCAGCATCCGCACTACCAGCAGTTCGCCAGTTTACTGCCAGGCTACCCGTCGGCACCACCCGCGGCCTTCTTCTTGGGCCCGCTTTTCGGCAACACCGCCATGGGGGTCGGAGTCGTGCCCGGGGTCAGCGAACTCGCGGCCTTGAAGCACTGCCGACGAAGGAAAGCGCGAACGGTGAGCCACGGATGTTTCTTATCGGCGAACGCGAATTCGTCCGGCGTCGGCGAACGCGAATTCGCCGGGTCACCGAATGCGACTCTTTTTCCTTTTGTATTTCGTGTCCGATCGGTCGATCAAGCGTTGCTTTTTTATGGGGTACAGCGGAGAGGCGATAGCGTACTTCTGGAACGCGATCGGTACCAGCGTCGCACACGTGCCATCATCGAGTATCTCGCGTGCAGAACGACGAATTGACTTGGCAAACGTGGAACTTACTTTGGGAATTATTGGCGTGCTTTTTGGAGAATTTGTTGCTCGAGGGTACGGTAAATTCTTCTCGATTTTTCTTGAAATTGCGAACAGAATTGGACGATTTGGGGAGAGCAGGTACGATTGTTCGAGCAGCTCGCGGCTCATTTTTATCGTTAGCGATTGTCTGTTATTATGAAAACGGTGTGCTGGACTCCTCTCTCGTTATCTCTCCTTCCCAAATTGTACATTTTTGTTTACAAGCTGATGGAAAATTAGGGGGAATTTACTGTATTATTTTAGGGGTTGCAGAGTTTATATTTGCAGATTGTTGTTGTCTTTTCGACGACGTTCTTTGCATATTTTATGGGAGGATACGCGGTGTATTTAATGCGAGGAATGCGGTAAATATGATTATTAGATCTTCGTGCGAAATAAAAATTGAATCGATTGCAACAGGAGTCGAATAGAAAATGATTATCTGTGTTGATAATTGCAGTGGCTTGCAGATAATGCGCCAGTAAAGTTGAATATTACTAATGTTTCTTCTCCTATGTGTTTTATCTACTTATTGACTGTTTTATCGTTCGACTGTCAATTGGTGAACGTAACAGAATGCAATAGAAGAGAACGCGGCACGAGATTCGAAATTGATGATTGATCATTGAAGATCATTGATGCGTGACTAAATGATCTTCATTCGCGTGAATTTAACCGTATAAATATATTTTCATAAAATTACGCAGAAACAAGCGCAGTCGATCATTCGCATTATTATTCGAATAATTTCGCAGTCTCTGTTCGAGTAATTTTACAGTCACTGCTCGAATAAACACAAAGAATAATTACCAACGAATAATGGATAATCGTTATTCGAATAAAACTGTCGACGAAAAGGCATTCGTTCGGACAATTATCCTACATCAATATAATATTCGGAACAATTTTACAGTCTCTCCTCGAATAATTTCGCGGTCTCCGTGCCGAACTCCGTACACATCGTCGTTTCCGTCCGAACCGCGCCGAGGCTCGATCGCGTCGATTCCTAAATGAACGTTGAAACGACGGCTATTCACAGGCTCCGTTTCCCCTTGTCCGGTATTTGTAGGTGTTCAGCGATCAACAATTAGCTGGTTTGGAGGCACGATTCGAGGTGCAGAGGTACCTGAGCACGCCGGAAAGGGTCGAGCTTGCGGCCGCTCTTCACCTATCCGAGACCCAAGTGAAAACGTGGTTTCAAAACCGGCGAATGAAGCACAAGAAACAATTGAGGAAATTGAGCACCAGCGCGGGCAGCAACAGCAATCAGAATTCCAATCAGCCGTGTACCGGTCAATCCGTTTCCGTCACGTCACCCGCCGGTGAGTATAAAACATTGTTCGCCATCTTCTTTTCAACCCTCCGCCCTCTGATTTCTTCTTTCGTTACATCTTGTGCCGAGGCATCAAAACGTTCCCCGTTGGTCTAGTAAATATTCGTACATTCTCTTAAGACGGAACAACTTTTTTTTATAATTGTGCCAAACGGTCTAAATGTTGCTGGGACGTTAGACGGATTTATTTTACCGGATAAGGGTTAAAGAATTGTTCGGAAATATTGCAGTTGGTTCGCGCGATAAAAGGATCGAATGACGATGCTTTATCAGCCGTTTTTATCCGAGCCTGCAAGGAAAATTTAAAAGAATCATTTTGTATACGAACCTTGCGGATTAATTGTCTCTAGTGAAATTTTTATTATTTTGTGAACAGTGTGAGGTCATATCAAGTCAAAAAATTCGACGAAACTTCATAAACGATTAGTGCAGATTAATTTTGCAATATAAATATGCAATATATAAATTGCAGATTACCTGTAATGAGAGATTTGTATTACATTATTATTTAATAACTGCACAAATTCGTGTTAATTCAAAGGATTCAATTGTATTTCCTAAATCGGATGAATTTACTTGGCAAAAGTGTCCGCTCGGATTGCAAAAAGGACGAACGCGATCGGCGAAAGGTAAAACCTGAACAACGAAGAGGGAATTCGTCGAGAGAATAAGGGCGAGACGTAGCCGTAGCCGTTGGCACAAGTTTCCGGGTCGTCGAACGTGTCGTGCTAAAACGGAAATCGCGAGCATTGCGTAAAGGACCGTCCGGTTACACGTGCGCGCGTGCGACGTACGTAGCGCAGACGTTTAAATGTATAATATTGCGCGCGACTGATAATGAAATGCCGGGGGGGGGGGGAGTTGATGATAACGAAATCTTTGGTGTTATGCGATCAGAGACGCGGAACACGCGATCGTAATTCCGGAGGAAGCTAATAGTTGATAAAACGGAAGTTAGCCTTCTATTATAAACTCGATGACGCTTAAAATTTTCGCCCGTCGCCTCGGTTAATGCGAGCGTTTAATTGCAATTGCAGAACCCATGCAATTTCGGATCCGCGCGCGTCACAATGCGTAATTACCGCTAAACACGTGTATCGACTTTTCGATAAACAGCCGTGCACACGCGCCCACGCGCGTTCCTCCGCATCAATTAGCCCGGATTAACAGCACGATCTGTCCTGCATAATCAATTATCCATAAATCATGTTTTGTAATTTCGACAGCGTGCGAGGAGAAAAAATACGGAACGGCAGGAGCGACGAGAATTTTCCATACTCGGCTCTCTCTCTCTCTCTCTTTCTCTCGGCGCGCGAAATCTTTCGCGGACGTTCGATTTTCGATTTCGATGCTGCATCGCCGAACGAATGCTCCAAATTAATATTCGAAATGTTCGTACATTAATTACCACGCAGCGTTACGGATGCGTCGATTATTTTCGATCACGGCGAAGTATACGTAAATATATTTTCGATATTTTATGGTGTTAGTTTTTTAATATTATCTCATAGGGTTTATTTCAGATTTAGTTAATATTACTGCTTAGTATTATCAATATTACTTCTTAGAGTTTATTTAAGATTTATTTAACATTATTGCTCAGTACTTTCGACCCTTCGCACTCGAGCGGTGACTCTCAGGCACCGCTAAAATTGTTACAGCACGTTCCAAGATAATTTGCATATTAACGAAGTTTAGATTTAAGAAATTGAACAATGAACTTCGTCATTAGAAAAAGTTAAGGACCGATTCGCGGAACGATACGATAATCGCTAATTAGTACAATAAGGAAACGTTTTTTCCAACTCCGTGTCTCTCCGGCAAGCGGGCCGCGGAAACGTTTATATCCGACATAAAGATCGGCGGTCCGGCAATTAAGACGAATCGCAGAAATCGCTAAATAAATCCGCCGCCGCCGTCGTCGTCGTCGTCGCGCGGTTTTAACGACTCGAACTTTTTCGCTTCCGGTCGTTCGAGGGTCGCCGAGAGCCGACCGATACGCGCACAGGAGACTATAATAATAATAATCGCGAAAAGTAGATCGCGGCTTGTGTATCGCAATTAAATCGTTATTAGTATAAACTTCGTAATTGTGATTATCAATTTGCATTGGAGCGCGGCCGGGGCAGCGACGGAATTTCGGTGTACGTCAAATAGTTCCCCAGGTTATCATGCTAATGGACCATATAATGCAACCAAAATTCGGCTGACAATAAATTACGCAACTTTAGTTAACTAACCAGACCATAACCGAGCCCGCCTGGGACTAGAATGATTAACTACCCGGTTGCCTGGATAATGATCGCTTTTTGCCGGACGATATCCCGCAATTCATATACGGATTTAACGGCGTTATCGCTTACAATATCGCGACGGCCGCCATCGTCAATAGGATAATCCGTCGCGCAGACGTTCCGCCGATTTTTATTGCAACTAATGCAGCACCGAGTTCCGAAAATCGATTGTCCGACCGACGACCGACAACTGCGAGTCGCGCGAGAAGCTGTTCTCTCGCCGGTGTCGTTTATCGTTGGCGCTTATGCACCGCGGTTAATAAAATTATTATAATTTGTTCGATGCGCGAGTTTGAAACGAAACAATTAAAACCGATGCAAAATTGGAATCCATGGATCCACACTGATAATTACGCCGCGGATCTTTATGCGAAATTTGTCGCGAGTTGCGAGAGAGAGAGATGGGAGCCAACGGAACAGTCTTTCTGTTCGTTGATGGNTTCCAAGATAATTTGCATATTAACGAAGTTTAGATTTAAGAAATTGAACAATGAACTTCGTCATTAGAAAAAGTTAAGGACCGATTCGCGGAACGATACGATAATCGCTAATTAGTACAATAAGGAAACGTTTTTTCCAACTCCGTGTCTCTCCGGCAAGCGGGCCGCGGAAACGTTTATATCCGACATAAAGATCGGCGGTCCGGCAATTAAGACGAATCGCAGAAATCGCTAAATAAATCCGCCGCCGCCGTCGTCGTCGTCGTCGCGCGGTTTTAACGACTCGAACTTTTTCGCTTCCGGTCGTTCGAGGGTCGCCGAGAGCCGACCGATACGCGCACAGGAGACTATAATAATAATAATCGCGAAAAGTAGATCGCGGCTTGTGTATCGCAATTAAATCGTTATTAGTATAAACTTCGTAATTGTGATTATCAATTTGCATTGGAGCGCGGCCGGGGCAGCGACGGAATTTCGGTGTACGTCAAATAGTTCCCCAGGTTATCATGCTAATGGACCATATAATGCAACCAAAATTCGGCTGACAATAAATTACGCAACTTTAGTTAACTAACCAGACCATAACCGAGCCCGCCTGGGACTAGAATGATTAACTACCCGGTTGCCTGGATAATGATCGCTTTTTGCCGGACGATATCCCGCAATTCATATACGGATTTAACGGCGTTATCGCTTACAATATCGCGACGGCCGCCATCGTCAATAGGATAATCCGTCGCGCAGACGTTCCGCCGATTTTTATTGCAACTAATGCAGCACCGAGTTCCGAAAATCGATTGTCCGACCGACGACCGACAACTGCGAGTCGCGCGAGAAGCTGTTCTCTCGCCGGTGTCGTTTATCGTTGGCGCTTATGCACCGCGGTTAATAAAATTATTATAATTTGTTCGATGCGCGAGTTTGAAACGAAACAATTAAAACCGATGCAAAATTGGAATCCATGGATCCACACTGATAATTACGCCGCGGATCTTTATGCGAAATTTGTCGCGAGTTGCGAGAGAGAGAGATGGGAGCCAACGGAACAGTCTTTCTGTTCGTTGATGGTCCATCGATAATTTTAAAAGCTTGCAAACAATGTATCGACGCCATTAAATGCTATTAACCTTTCGCAAACGTTTCGTTAAATTCGCGAATGCAGTTACTGCGATGCGAATAAGTTTTATTTCGTTCTCTTTTTTCTTTTTACTTCAACTCTGCGTCAAGTCTGCATTTTTTATTATTCGTAACGAACGGCCTGAGAAACGAAATCGCGGAGATTAATTTTTAAATCATCGCGCAGGCGATCCGACGAGGGTCAAAGGTTTGATCCGAAGTACAGTAATTTCTCCCGGAAATGCCGAATTTCGGGTCGCTGCGAATTTCCCTGTGCTAGTATAGCCTTTCGTACGGCTAACGGGCAACTTCCTGTACAATATTCGATGAACAAACGAACGAATAATCGCGGAGTAGAAAATTTGCGATCCGTCAATCTTTGTGAAAATCTGTACCAAACAGACGTTATTATCAAATAGATACGGACGTGTTAGATTTATCGGAGCATTAAAAAATAGTAAAATAAAATCGCAATCATTCGACACGGAGTTCGTATTCCGAGGGATTAATCGGCCATTAAATTTTGGACCATGGCCTTCCAATGAGAATTTCATAGAAAATCGCTTGATCCCATCAGTCGCCGCTATTGGGTTACGACAGATTTTCGCCGATAACTTTTAACGACGTGATACGATTACCATTTTTACCATAATGCGACATTTTCGAATTTCTGGAAGATTTATTACCGGGCGATCGCGATCGCGATTCCTCGAAACGGAACGTCGATTCTATAATTTAGTCTTGTCCGCGTTGTTTGGAAGTCAACGTTAACTCACAAGTAACATTCTTTCTTTAATTTCCGATATTAAACAAACAAAAATAAAGAGAGGTAAAGAAGAAGAAAGAAAAGTGAAGAATAGCAAAGAAAAATAAAGAAATAAAAAGGAAAATAAAAAGAAATTAAATTTCAAACGATTTTCTTGGAACTAAAAATGATTTAAATAAACCGACTATATAATGGAAGAGAAAAAAAAACAAAAAACATGATCGACGAGAATCAAATCCCCCTTGTCCATCTTAGAAACGTGATTCATCGTTTTCCGGGTGCGCTGTTACAGAGGTCGTCGAGTAACGAGCGGGCAAAGTGTAAGTCGGCAGTGAAAGCGTTCGAGCAATAGACAAAAAATAATTGAACTATGGCCCGACGTCTCAGCGTAGGAGTTCAACTTTCTTTGAACCGGCGTGGATAAATGATCGCCGCGAGCCGCGCCGCGTTTCTAACCAGCGACAGGGACCACGGTCTCGAGTAATTCCCGAGCTGCGGCGCATCTGCTCGTCGTAACCTTCGGCAAGTTGCTCGTCTCGGTAGCCAAGATGGCTTCGTTCGGTAGGAAGGGCTAACGAAGTTAGTAGACATCTCCTTGGCAGCCGGGAAGAAGGGGGTTGCAAGGGGGAGGCTGGAAAGCGCGTAGAAGATGAGACCGCCTCGTCGTCCTCGTCCTCTTCGCCGTCTTCCTCCTCGCGCTCGTCTCTCCGGTGTGTCTTCGTGTTCGTCTTGGTCGTCTAGAGACTCGAACGGATACCGTCTAAGGAACCCCGGAGAGTTACGGCACCCCTTCGTTCCTCTCCCCACGGTCTATCCATCCATCCCTCTCCCTGCCGTCGTCTTTCTCTTTCGCTTCTTCTGGCCCTCTTACTGCGACGACGTCTCGCGCCACCCCTCGCGTCTTACCTCTTGTCTTCTCGATTCGGTCTTCGAGAAAATTAGTCAATTATCGGCTAAGTGCTCGGCCAGACCTACATTCACGATTCCTAGCCGCACCGAGGCTCGTCGAGGACCTTACTTGTGTATCACCATATATCCGAGACCCAATTCAATTAAACGATTTTCAATCCGTTCCGGAACCGTGTCTCCGAACGATTCTTTTCTCCTCCGTCTCTCTTCTTCCGGCCGCGTGGTCATCGATCGATTGAATTAGGATCACGGTGGCGTAAACGAGACTTTCGAGAAACGTGATCTACAGACGCGAAATTATCGAAAATGAACGACAAAGTTCCTGCGAATCGATCGAACTCTGAATTTATCTTAACGATAAATTTGGTCGAAATCAAATAATCCCTGGCATGAACGATCAAGTTGCTGAATCAGTCGGGAAGCGATCCAGGCCAGGCGCAAAGGTAGCTGTAAAGAGTTAAGACCGTGTTAGCAGAACAATGCACGGTGAAACGGCATTTCCATCTACTTATACAAGTCGTACATGGAAGTTCCGTTTATTATATTGATCCCGAACTTTTCGAATAAGGTTCAATTTAAACTTTCCGTCCTCCGTTTACGAAACTATTTAAATTCTACCGACTATCCGCGATTACTGCGTAGAACTCGCGCCGCTCGGGCTTTAACGGATTCTGCGGCGAAATTTTCCCCTCGTTCCCTCCCGGACCACGTTTACCTGTTCGACGTTATTTAAATTACTAATCCGCTAATTCTCACCAACTTTCGCACCAACTATAATAATGTCTGCTACGACGCGTCACGTAAATCACGGGATCACGAAACCAAGGAATAATTGCTCGAATCTTCGTCGAATCGAATCGAAACAAAAAAAAATATATATATATATATTTTGTTTTACCAGCAAATTATACGATCGAAAAATCTGCACCGTGTCCTCCTCGTCGACGTCGTGCACACGCGAACTGCAGTAAAAATTTCAGCTCGATAACTTTACTATTGTCCGAGTTATTTCAATTTTAGCGATAATTAATTGGCGCTACCTACGTACCACAGTCGCGCAAAATTCGATTCGCACGATGGACAAGAGATAGGAGAATAACGAATAAAATTTTGTCCGACGCTATCGAATAAATATCCAAGCGAATAAAAATTCGTCTGGGCAAACATACGTATGTCCGAAAATCGCGTTCTTCATCGAATCGTTTTGTTCGGAAAAACGATCATTCGTTGCTCGTCGTACATTATTCTATTTATTTAACCGAATAATTCTTCGTTCCATCTGATTATTCCAGTTATTCTTTATTCTATTCATTTATTCGTACGATTCTTTATTCTATCTCTTTATCTTCGAATAATTCGTCGCGAATTGTTCTCTGTTTTCACGTGATCTTATAAGAAATGCATTCGGCGTCAGTTAACGCATCGACTGCCCACCCCTATCTCGTAGAAACGTCTGTTCTAGACGGCAATTTAAAGAAATAAATAATAACAGGTACAAAATAATAGCGAGTTAACACTTAGCCAACCGAATAGGGAGATCTCCCAGTTTCATATTCAGTCGATTAGTAACCGAATGGACGATTAACGAGAAACTAAAAATAATTGCTTAATTTTATTAAGATTTGCAAAGAATAATAAATAATATATAATATAGAATAATAAATATAATAATATGAATAGAATAAAAATAGAAATATGAATAGAATAATAAAAAGAATAATAAATATATATAATAATAAAAAATATTAAGATTTGCTGAAGAAGCAATTGATGTCATACAAGTTTGCTCCGTAATTTCTGTTTAAATGAACGAAATATTTTAATTTTATGAAAACTTCTGAAGTTTCTAGCGCGATGGTGGAAGTGTTAATCAAGCTAAAAAGTAAAAAATAACGAGCGAAAAATGAATAAATAAATAAATCCTTCCTTTTCGGGAACGAACCCTTAACGGACGCGTGACGGCGGCCGTCCGCCGCGAGATATCTCGTGGTCGGCAGCGAACGGATTAAATGAGACGACGTTCCGGTGTCTCCTGTAAGCTGTGGAAGTCGGTAACGCGAGATCTCGTTGAAATTGTTCGCAGAGAGGCCGGTGGATTTCTCCCTGAGCGGCGGCGGCCGGGAATCGCGGGCGAGCAGCGACGCCCCGGCGGACTCCGACGACGACGAGATCGACGTCCTCGGCGACGAGACGCCGTCGCCGACGAGAACGGGCAACGTGCACGTCTCGAGACGCGTCGGCTCGCCGACGAGTTTCCATCAGATGACGCACCCGCATCCGGTGAACCTGCCCCATCAGTCGCAACACGGCCAGACCATCCAACGCCAGCAGCATCGCTGAAATCGCTATGGTCCTCGTTCGTGGTTCACCAAAACTCTAGAACGTCGCGGGGCCCCGATCGGGCCCGGTGCGGTTCGATGGCACAGTGCTTGGACCCCGTTGTGGGGGTGGGGTGGGGGGATGTTCGAGTGTAACTAGTCCTTGTAGAAGGAGAAGAGCAAGTTGTTCGCGAATGGAACGGAAGCCGAAGTGATGTTGGAACGAAGTCGAAAGACTTCGAGGGTCCCGTTGGGTTCCTCGGGGTTCGCTCGATTGGTCGACGAAGAGAACGATGACCGATCGGGGTGGGGGCTCGTTTCGACGACCAGGGATCGCGTCTGCGAGCGTTCTTCGTGCAATTCGACTGTCGAATTCCGAGCGTGATTTCTTATCGGGTGGGCCGCGGAACGATTCTGTGCGGTTGACCGTTCGTTTCGTGGCAAACAGTGAGTTTTAACTTCCGTAAGAAAACGAGTCAATAATGGTAAGAAAGGTGATCGACGTGTAAATTGTTCGGAGACACGAGAAAAAGTCGCCCCTTACGTTAGCAGACATTTTTAGCGGACTCTGTGCTGTACGAGTAAAAAAGATCAATTCATGCTGTCCGTTCGGGTATTGCGACTCAGGCGAACACGATCCAGTAGTTTAATCGTCGGTCTACGGTTTTAATGATAGCTTCGCTTAACACTTGGCCAACCGAATGGGGAGATCTCCCCGTTTTAAATTCAGTCGATCGATGACCGAATGGATGATCACTGAAAAATTAAAAATGATTGCTTAATTATATTAAGATTTGCATACAAGTTTGTTTCGTAACTTTTGTTTAATCGAACGAAATATTTTAATTTTATGACAACTTTTGAGGTTTCTAGCGCGGTCGTGGAAGTGTTAAAAAGCATAGAAAACTATTGCATTTTCATTCGAACCATTTTGTTACGCCTGCTGCAGATTTAAAGATGCGAGCCGTTTATTTTGAAAGTGGCACAAGTCACTTTGTTTTTAAGTCGATATATTTAAGGGTTTGCGTTTTAACACGTTTCAAAAATATGGATGCTAACTTTCGAGAAGATTTACTTGTATTTGTTCTCTCAGGATACCGATATTTTTCTCAGTATAAATAATTTCGTGTAAACATTAAAAACATCACCGCTTCTCATTACGGTAAAGTGACTTATGCCACTTTCAAAATAAACGGCTCGTGTATAGATTCATAGAGAACCGCCTGTCTACGTACACAAGGGTTGTTTTCACCCTGAAGAAACGAATCGTGGCCGATAATAAATATAGCTCGATAAAATACATTTACACAGTTGCAAAGAAAATGGAATTTTCTGGTTGACGAATTTTCCCTTGTTAGTGAATTTTGTGCGTACGAAATCGGGCCTTGTGACGCGCACAATAATTGTTGTTTAATATTCAATATTTCTTTGAAATGTAACGTTTTGTAAATAGATATTCGACACTGTGACGGTAATTTTCAAGAGAATATTTTTCTGGACCGAAACGCGGCGCGTACCCGAACGGATAATAAATTGTCTTCGAAGTAGAACCGTAAAGAGCGAACACGTCTTCGCCTTTGTTTTTTGTTTTCGTAATCGACACCGAAATCCGTGAACCGGGGTGGGTAAGGTACCGAGAAAAAAACGGCACGCCTGGATACACTTCTCAGTGCCATTCGACATTTGTGATCGAGCTAATCGTACCTAAACGATATTGTAAAAAAGAGAAGAGAAAGAAGAAGGAAAGAAGGAAAAGAAGCAGAGGAGGAAAGGGGTGAGAACGGTGTGCAAGGGTAGAGCCTCGAGGAGAAAACTTTCCCGTCGAGAGGTAAAAAAGAATGTAGAAAGTGTAAACGTGTAAATGACTCGCTAATCGATCTCCTGCGACGACACTTTTTATAGCAAAATGCCGTAATTAAAGCTAGTCTGTTTTGTGTCACTTTTTATAGCGAAGTAGTAAGTTAGCCTGTGGTTCAAGTTGAGATTAAAATGTCACGATGTAACACGGTGTATTTTCTTTGCCCTCCTTTTAAATCGCTGGGTCGGTCGTCAATGAAAAAAAGAAAAATGTGCTCTCGGAATTCATTGAAAGAAATTAGCCACGATTTGTTTGTTGAAACTTCGGCTTTGTTCATTCTGTTACCGGTGATTTCATCTTTTCTCGTTCGTTCGGAAAATTCGTCCTCGACGAATAGAATATTCGAAGAAAATAGGAATGTTCGACTCTTTTTGTTCCTCGTTATCCGAAAACGCGCTAACTTGTTGATCTTATGAAAATTTTTATTAGTTGTTCTTGGTTTACGTGGCAAATGTAATTGTTACTGTATCATTTGTTATTCGGACCGAATTTATCTCGCTTCCTAATTAAAACAAACTGTGCTGCAATACGATTCACCGTTGGACTGCAGATTTTATGCGTTTATGGCAATAATAGCGAGATAAAGAACGAAACGGTGAGAACTTTCGAGGAAATGGCGGGTTCAAAAATTGTACATTTGCGAAGAGCTGATTTAATTTTGTTTCTTTGAGCATACAGCTTCTGATAGCAGATCGCTACAGATCGGAATAAATATATTTCTGTTATTTTGTAACAATCGCAACGGATCTGAATAAATATATTTTTGTTATTTTGCAACGATCGCAACGGATCTCAATAAATATATTTTTGTTATTTTGCAACGATCGCAACGGATCTGAATAAATATATTTTTGTTATTTTGCAACAATCGCAACGGATCTGAATAAATATATTTTTGTTATTTTGCAACAATCGTCTCAAATATTCACACTCTTTTTACCTGTGCGACAGTGAAGAATGCTTTGTGCTAGAATTCTAACTAAAAATGCACTATAGCGTTCGCAGCCGGCATGTTTCTTCAGCCGTCGACATAAAGAGTGCAAATGAAAACAATGCGAGGAAGAAGCGAAAAGATAAGCGGTAATTTCGGCACGCAAGCCGTGACCCGATGCGGTGTCGGGTTGCACACGTCGGAAGACGTAAACACGTTAAACTGCTAGCCGTTTCGTGCGGGTTCCATCGGGCCCATCTTCGTTCGCTTTATTGAATGTTCCATCCAATCGATGTAAACAACTTTTATTTTACGTAGAAATCGATTTGTCACTCGTGGGTGACAAGGCACGCGAGATAAAAAAAAGAATGTCTCAGATAACAAGTTAATGAAATAAAGACTAAATTCCAGGTCATTTATTTATTTAAACTGAATTTCATTTGCGCCGACTGACCGTATTTCATTTAATATATTACTTTAAGGATTGTTGTGAACTTTCCAAATGAGATTAACTAATTTGCAATTTTGTCATCACAGGAATTTCACATTGTCCAAGCGAGCAGTACTACTAAAACGGCGAAGGTAAAATACAATTCTACTGTTGTTTTGAAAATTAAACATGCTTACTGGAAGCTCCACCAAAGCTTGTGTCTTATAATTGATTCGTTTACATTTATAATTCATTTCCATTGCAGCATGTTCGAACGAACTGAATTTTTCCAAACCGTTCAGAATGCAAAGAGTTAAAATATTATCCACGATGATATATTTTAACTATCTAATATCAGTTTCGCTAATTACATTACTTTGGTTTCGTGGACATTTTTCCACATAATCGCACGAAGTCCAGCTATCGCAATAATCAGTATTTTAGCGTTTCAAGAGAATCTCTTAAGCCAAGTCGAGCACAGAAAAATAATGTTCGTAGCCCAAGCAGAATGGTATCGCATTTCGTACCGCTGCTGCAGATCTGTTATGGTTAAATTGATGGTTTAAAGCGGCCCGATTGACATTTGATAGCGTTTCGGGTCAGGAACGACGCTCGCGTCTCTCTGGAACATTACCATTCCGCTAATTGGCAGCGTGACATTTCCTGCTCGTCGTTTGGAACATTTTCGCGGCTCAGCGTGCCGCATGAGCTAAAGAACCCAGCTTGTTAATCCCGGCTTAATTTCTGGCCGACATCGGCGAACGACCCTATCTATGATCAATTAGTGAATCATACTTCGCGTTTCACTGTATTCGATAGAGTCGGCGAGCGAAGCCATTTTCACAGAAGGATCGAGCTTATCAATGCTGACCGGTTCTATATTTTGAAACTATTCAAATTATAAAGAGTCTTTTGTAGAAAATATCAGACTATATTTTTTTATAACAGAAGCAGGCATTGTAATAGAAACAGCAAGGTACCTAAATAAATTCAGACCTGTAATTTTTATAAGGCAACACACTGCTGCTCTAATTCATTACTGATACATGCCTAAATAATGAATTTTAAATAAAAAGGCATTTAAAGTCTTATTTTCCTAATAATAATTTGGTTTCCAAAAATAATGAAATATTTTCACTAAACGTTGTACTAATGCACATCGAAAGAAGAGTCTTTTGTAGAAAATATCAGAATATATTTTTTATAACAGAAGCAGGCATTGTAACAGAAACAGCAAGGTACCTAAATAAATTCAGACCTGTAATTTTTATAAGGCAACCCATTGCTGTTCTAATTCATTACTGTCTAATGTCTAAATAATGAAGTTTAAAGAAAAAGGCATTTAAGGTCTTATTTTCCCAATAATAATTTGGTTTTCTAAAGTAATGAAATATTTTCACTAAACCTTGTGCTAATGCACATCGAAAGAAATAAAATAAAATAAATATAAATAAATCTATCTATCTCTAAAAGGAAATCTATACAAATATAGAAATTTTAATATTTCAATATTTCTCCAGATATGCACAAAGAATGCATTGCTAAAAATAAGATGAACATAAATATAAATAAATATACTAAAAAGGAAATCTATATAAATATAGAAATTTTAATATTTCAATATTTCTCCAAATGCGCACAAAGAATGCGTTTCATCAACCTATTCATCAATACTATTTGCTATAAAATAATAGAATATCTCCGAATCACGTTTTTCTCTTTAATGACGCAGTATCGAATTAGAACAGCAATATGTCGGACATCTTTGGCACTCGGTAGGTGCAGTGTTAAACACCAGATTGAAACAAGATCGGAAATAGTATAGGTTATATCGTAGAACGCTGCCATAATTGAGACAAAGGAAACGCATGTACACGAATAATTTTAATATTACATACAATAGAATCGTTGAAGATTTTACATTACCATTCGCTGGTTTCTTGAAAGTTCGAAGTCCAGTTACAGCAACGGTGACCATAGAAATGACCGCGAACACCCTTCCTCCAAGATCATGCGTTCGCGTTCCGTCGGCGGTCGACTTCCTCGTCAAATCGAACAGGAACACGCACTTAGGACGTCCAAATCACGGTTCTACTTTGCTACGAGCAACTTTGAAATTTCAATCACACGATAATTAACACGTTTTCACGGTTCTGATCGAGGAGCACCGACCGTCGTCCCCAGTTCCGGCACGGCCATTTTGAAATCTCCGATCACGTGACGCGACGCCGATAGATCGGCAACTTCGGCTCGGGATCGTTTTCCCGCGAAATTTTCGCGTCACGTGACCCCGGAAGACCAAAATGGCGGAGCGTTGGCGAAGAAGGGTTTCCGTGCTCCTCGATTAAGTGATAAAAAGTATTATTTATATCGTGTTGTCGAGCTGTCAAAGTAGTTTCAGCGAACAAATTAAGTGTTTGGAACAAGTGGAAGCGTTCGTGGACATCGATGTCGCCGAATCGAATGGGTATCCGAGGAAGAAGTACAGCATCCTTCCGCGCTTGGTCCAGCCAGCCAAAATGGGAGATCTGCGTGTTGCGTATCGCGGTTGTTGGTAAGTCGTTGCAACGTAATTTTAATTATTCCGTCGCTGTCACATTTTCTTTGCGCGAAACAGGTGTGTCGTATAAATATACCCGAGAATAATCGGGTCTCAAGGACTTGGTTCAGTTTTCGAACAATTGTCACTCGAAAACTAGTGATTTCGTCGAGATGAGAAAACTTGACGATATAATCCGAACGTTCTAGAACATCGCTTCCGCGTACATGTATCGAATTAATGTCTCTAGAGCAT